ACGGCTTAGCCTGACCTCAGTCGCTATGCTGCCTTTACTGGAGATTTCAGCTTAAAGTTGGGTATGACTGTTCTCGCGCAGTCAATCGATGCTTGGAGCTCTTTGGTTAGCTCGTCTTTGGTTGGCGGTTGCAACTCCACTTCTGGGTCCTGAATACTAAATACAGGCCACTCTCTGCAAGGTATGGGTCAGACTGCCTCCGGCGCTACCACTTTCTGTGGGCCAGCTTTAGCTTCTGCTCCTTTACTAGTGCTCTTTTTTTTTGAGCAACTAGCCCCCTCCGGCTTTTTTTCTGGAGATCCGGGCTCTTTCCGATTTTTGTTTTTATTTTTGTTTTGAATTTGTTTATTTGTGTTTAGGTTCATAGATGGTCTCACGATGGTAAGGCTCCTTATCTGTATGCTGTGCTATTGAGGAACACCGAACACATAGATAAGATTTCTGACCTTAGCTAGATTCCTCACAACTTCGGCAGGGGCGGACTGTTACCAGATCGTCCCCGCTTACGTCGTGAAACTGTGGTATCTATTACCAGTCGGCACCCTCGGGGAGGGTTCAGTGAAGGATTTCTGCCGACCTATATAACAAGTAAAGAAGTTCGCTTGTAATCGAACATTTTATACTATCGCAAAGCTCAAAGCCGGGCAACTATGGTACTTTCAGATGTTGGTAAAACTTTATATTAAGAAATGTAGCGAAATAATTCAACATTAATTATTTGACGAAAACGTTAAAAGATTACTATTATATATGGTATCTTATTAGCTTATGAAGTTGTAGAATCACTTAGCCTCAATACTATATTTTTCTTCCAAGATATTCATATTCAAATCAACCTAGTTAGGTCAAATCAGATATAAGTGATATAAACTCAACCAAGGAGGCTAAATTGAGTGAAACGGATATCATTATATTAGAGATAAGGGCTTTAGACAACATAAAAAGATGATCTATGAATTTAATTAAGAAATTTCGCAGATTGGCCGATATATGAGATTTTTTTAAAAAGTATCGGAAATTTTGAATTTTCGCGGGCTACGTGTATTCGATTTTCGATTGTTTTATTGCGTAATGTTGGTACTCATATCCCTTACTTATGCTGCCAAGGTCGGTCATTTTTAACGTTTAATTCAGTTTTGACAGCTGTTTTGCTTGGACGCGTTTTAGGTCGTCTTCCATTTTTGCGTTGTCTTTTTCGTGGCAAACTTATTAAAGAAGAAACATAGAAACATAATTGTTAATAATAACTAAATAACATAATTTTAACTAAAATGCTAAGAAAATGAATCCAAAAATCTTGCTACAACAATCACTCGAAACATTCCACAGAACAACGCAAGATTTAAAAAGCAACAATTAATTTTTCGGTGGTGTTGTCCTACAGCTGTCTGATGATTTTCGATAATATAAATGTATGTTTTAAAGTAATTCTTTTGGCGAAGTTCTGAAACAGTAAAAATCTTTTCCGAACAATTGCTAGATACTGAAAACGGCAGAAAAGAGCTGCAGCCATTGCAGCAATTGCCAGACAATTTCTGCACTGTTGTGCACGCAAAAAAAAATTTAATTGGCAATATTTTTCCGAGCATAGAAAATAATTACTAGGATCTTAAATGATTCAGTAATTCGGTTATTTTTATTTTTATCAAAATATGTACATAGGTGTTGACGAATTCAATTTCCTGATGCAACAATTATGGTCAGGCAATCTTATGTATTTTAAATCATTCGCCATATTTAAGCTATTGCTAGCTCCTATCGAGGGGTTTCGAGCGCGGGGACAGAATCAAGAAATTCCAACTCATTTGACTAAAACAATACAATTAAAATTTGATATTTCAATCGGATTATCAATGGTAATAAATTTATACTTATCTTGGCCGGCGATTTCCACATCAACTTCGCTGATAAAATATCAGAACGGTTGACAACTTTTTTTTTGGAAAAATTGAATGATCCACAAGAATCCACAACAAAATATGGGACCTCCATTGCCGCGATATTCTTCAGATATTTAGCGGACATCTAGTTTTAAACTTATGTTTCTTATTTCAGTTAAAATAAACCTATAGTTTCAATGATAAAAATTCCTGAACAACCTACATGAATTGTAAGATAATAAAAATATTTTAAACAATATTAATTTCTCATTTATTCAATAAATTTGTTTTCTTATCGGTCACCACGCTCAAAAAGTGTAACTTAAAATAATATTTAAAAAAAACTTGAATTAATATTAAAGAAAAACAAGAAAAAACGTTAACTTCGGTTGCGCCGAAGCTATAATACCCTTCACAAATACAAAGGCCCCTTACAAGAACTTGATTCCGAACGTCAATTTGTATGGCAGCTATATGATATAGTGATCTGATCTGACCAATTTCTGTGGAGAATAATTTGTTGCCTTAAGCAATAACTTGTGCCTAATTTCGTGAAGATACCTCGTCAAATAAAAAAATTTTCCATGCAAGCACTTTACTCCGATCGTTCAGTTAATATGGCAGCTATGTGCTATAGTTATCCGATCTATACAATTTCTTCGGAGATTAGATTAATGCCTTAAATAATAATACATGCCAAATTTCGTGAAGATACCTCGTCAAATGAAAGAGTTTCCCATACAAACACTTAATTCCGATTGTTCAGTTTGTATGGCAGCTATATGCTACAGTGGTCCGATATCCGTTCCGACAAATGAGTAGCTTCTTTGTTAGAAAAGGGCAGGTGCAAAATTTTAGATCGATAGCATAAAAACTGAGGGACTAGTTTGTATATATTCAGACAGACGAACAGACGGACATGGCTAAATCAACTCAGCTCATCATGCTGATCATTTATGTATATATTATATTTTGTAGGGTCTCCGACGTTTCCTTCTGGGTGTTACAAACTTCGTTGCAAACTTAATATACCCTGTTCAGGGTATAAAAAATACTACATAAACAAGTAAGGAAGTTCTAAGTTCGAGTGTAAACGAACATTTTATACTCTCGCAACTTGCAAGGATCAAAGCCCGAGAATTACTTCAGGTGTTGGCAATACTTTATTGAAGGAAGTATTGATCCGATTCAACCCATTTTTGACACAAAGACATACTATGGTCGAGAGTTCCTTTTTTGTTTTATTATATGAATTTTAATTATATATCTTAAACATTGACCGATTCTTTCGGTATAAGGTCAACTATGGGCACTGGGGTCCACATATTCATTATCTAGGGGCTTGAACAGTTTTGGTTTGATTTAGACAACTTTTGGTCACAAGGTGGCATACTTTAAACGTATTATTCACGAAAAGTTTTACCTCGATATAATCATTGTTGCTTGATTTGCATAGTGGAAAGCGAAAGAATCAGATGGAATTTAAAATGGTGTTATATGGGAAATAGGCGTGGTTGTAATCCGATTTCGCCCATTTTCGTACTATAGCATAGAAATATGAGAAGAATGTTACGTACCGAATTTCGTTAAAATTGGTTAAGCAGATCTCAAGATATGGATTTTCACCTAAAAGTGGACTGTGCCGCGCCCACTGTCTAATTTTGAACGCCTACAAAGTCATCTCATACCATCCCAGAGATAAAATTTAATGTCTCTGGCGTGTTTAGTGCTTGATTTATCGCGCTTTTAGTAGTTTTTAACAGTACCGTTATATGGGGAGTGGGCGAAGTTGCCACCCGATTTCACCCATTTTCACACTGTAGATAGAGGTTCTAAGAACATTTGCTTCCAATAAATTTTGTTATTATAGCATTAGCGGTTTAGGAGATATGCACATTAAAACTATTAGAGCCCGGACCACGCCCACTTTAAAAAAACTTTTAACTGCAGATGCTCCACCCTATTGTGATCCTGTATACCAAATAAGAGTCTTGTATCTTGTTGTGGAGCTTAGTTATGGCAATTTATTTGTTTTTGAATAATGGTGTTTTGTGGGAGTGGCAGTAGTTCGATTACGCCCATCTGCAATACCAACCGTCTCACGGTACCAAGAAACATGTCTACCAATTTTCAGAAAGATATCTTAATTTTTACTCTAGTTAGAGCTTGCACGGACGGACGAACGGACAGTCGGTCACCCGGATTTCAACTCGTCTCTTCATCCTGATTATTTATATATACATAACCCTATATCTAACTCGATTAGTTTTAGGTGATACAAAGAACCGTTAGGTGAGCAAAACTATTATACTCTGTAGCAACAGCTTGCGAGAGTATAAAAATAAATAAATAATTATAATTGCATAAGTTGATAAATAATTCTATGCAATAGCTTTACCGCGGCAGTCCACGATTGCCACACGTATCTTATTTTGTTGATGAAAGTGAAGGCATAAATTTTCAAAGTGAATTTCGCAATGTATGTACATAAGTACATACCTAATAATATTCGGTTGAAGATTTGTTCATCTATTATTCATCTGATAGAAGGAAGGTAGAGACGGATTGGCCAAGAATTTTGTGCACCGAATGTTGAATTAAATTGAATTAAAAATGTTTATAATAAAAATTCCAATTTTTAACCACTGGATTTTTATATCGCCTACAACGGTTTTGCATAAATTCATTCATTTTTACTTTATTGAATAATATTACAATATAATTTAATAACGAATACCTTAGTCACAGGAAGGCGGGACCACGGCCTTCTAGTACTTCTATAAAAATGTCGATGTTATATTCCTTATATCATACACAATATGAGAATTAAATATCTCACTTAATCTTAATATATACCTCATAAACTTGTTGTTCCCATTGAACAATTGATAACCCTAATACTTGACATGATACTGACTATGATAGACAGTCACATGGAATCTATCATAATCACTAACGAAGCAGTAACATCTTTAATCCAAGAGGGAAAATGCAGAACTGTCATTGACACTTGTACATTATTTCTTACATTTATAGATTGCTCTTCAAACAGCTTACCGGTTGTCCATATTTTATTTTCTCCTCTCCCTTTTTTTCACATTGGTTCTTTTTTTTTTGCAGAAACCTCAGTCCCGCTCACTGTCCACATCCTCCGGCCATTCTGTATTTGATAGTCGACGTCACCTAATGGAATTGGATGAAGGTGAACTATTCATGGAGCTTATTCGTGATGTCGCCAATGAATTGGATATTGATGTGTTGTGCCATAAAATCCTCGTCAATGTAGGACTGCTTACTCATGCGGATCGTGGCTCATTGTTCCTAGCCAAGGGGCCACCGAACAATAAATACCTGGTTGCAAAGCTCTTCGATGTGACACAAAAGACAGGTGAGTCCAAATTACAAAAACTTAGTACATTGTTATGTATTACGAGACCTTTAAAGCAGTATTTGTGTGAACCAAAGAATTCATCGTTGCATGCAAATGAAATCCAGCAGCAATGCATACAAAATGGAATCGGTTTATCTCCGTTATATTTTTCGGTTTTTCTTTTGCAATACTGCAAATGACTTTTGCTACTTGGCTATTTTTGCAACTGACTATTGATTCTTATGCAACGGTTTCATTTGTCATTTACAGCGCTCAAGGATGCTGTTAAGAAGGCTAAGTTGGAGGAGATACGAATACCTTTCGGTGTGGGTATTGCCGGCATGGTGGCGCAAACAAAAGAGATGATCAACATAAAGGAAGCATACAAGGATGCACGTTTTAATTGTGAGATTGATTTAAAGACTGGCTACAAAACAAATGCAATATTATCGATGCCAATATGCAATTACGAAGGAGACGTCATAGGTGTGGCACAGATTATCAACAAAACCAATGGTAGGTGGCTGAGAATGCATAAAAACATTACGAGAATTTGAAATGTTTGGATATGCTACTTAAATTAAAACTATTCGACTATTCTCTCCCTGTAGTAATGATGAAAAATATTTTCTATGGTTAGAGAGATTGTTGCCTAATGGTAATGATGATGTTTTACGTTTTCTTTCAGCTTACGGACATGATAAAGTACTTGAGACGTGTTTTTGATAATTTATGCTCATTTTTCGGTGTACAACTCTACTCTAATACAGTTGAAAGTTAAGTTGCCAATGCCACACAACAACTATTACGGAAGTTGTTTTTTATATTTCGGGAATATTCTCCATTAAGATCTATACACTTTTGCATGCGTTTGAACCTTTTGGCGAAGTACTCTTGCCACTCTGATTGAGGTATCTCCAAAACATGCCATCTGAACGCATCAACCGTTTCTACGGGTGTCGAAAAACGTTGACCTCTTAGTTTACTTTTTGAGTACGGAAATAAAAAAATGTCATAGGGTGCCAAATCAGGACTATCAAGGGGATGACTTATCAAATCGAAGCTCTAATACTCTTCATAAATAAAAATTTTTTCTAGTCCGATCTAAATAATTGGTTTGGAGATTCTGCAGTTTCTTTGGACAATAATTTATGCTAAATTTCGTGAAGATAGCGACTTCACAGTAGATCATAAATTATAGCTTCAAATAGAGAAAAAATTAAAAGATACATATTAAAGTGGTCCTTCGGCAACAAGTGTTTTACACATCACAAAACATATCTAAGTTTAAGTCAATATCAAGTCATCTGTAAAAAACTAAAATATTTTATCCTAAGGTGGTAGCAATATTTAATCCTAAGGTGGTACGATAAATTAATTACTAAATCTCTCTTGTCGAGGAAGTGCGTTTTTCCGAGGATTTCGAGTTGGGGGGGAGTAGGGCAGTCATAATACAACTCACATATATAATTTTTAACTTTCAACTAACGACTTCAAAAAGCAAGATAGATAAAAAGACTACTGTTTAAACTGAAATAATGAATTCGCACTAAAGTTTTCTACTCTCTCGGCAGGTTCCATGGAATTTGATGAGCATGACGTCGAAATTTTCCGTCGTTACCTAACTTTCTGCGGCATTGGCATACAAAACGCACAACTCTTCGAAATGTCCGTCCAGGAATATCGACGCAACCAAATACTCTTAAGTTTGGCGCGAAATATATTTGAGGAGCAAAATAATTTGGAATGCTTAGTGACAAAAATTATGACAGAAGCGCGAGAGCTGCTTAAATGTGAGAGATGTGCCGTGTTTTTGCTGGATTTGGACTGTTGTGAGGCGGTAGGTAGGAAGGGTTACATGTAAAATCAACCTTATAATATATTATTAATTAATTTAATATAAGAAGTTAACAAGTTAATTGTTTATTTTACTTTTTGCCAGAGTCATTTGGAGAAAATTATTGAGAAACCAAATCAACTACAGACTCGACTTAACCGCGCCATCAAGGATGTGGATGATAAGGAAAGAGATGACAAAGTAAGTATAGAATTAAAGTTATTACAACACTCATCCTCATGGTTTTTCACTTATATTATAGCAAATGTCCCGCACGCGCTTCACAGTTCTTTTCGAGCTGGGCGCCTCCAACCAGTCGGCCAATATTTCCCGCCCCTCTGTCAATGATCTGTGCAACTCCACTTTAGCGCAAATTGCACAATTTGTGTCAACCACCGGGCAGACGGTGAATATCAGTGATGTACATGAATGGGTGCGAGAGCATAATCAAATACGGACAGAGAATGAGATTGACGCGACAAAGGCGATCTTGTGTATGCCGATAGCGAATGCGCAGAAGACGGTGATTGGTGTGGCGCAATTGATTAATAAGGTAATTTAACCGTACTTTTGGAAGTTTAGTAAAATCGAAATTCTATATAAAATTAATTTGTCTATTTCTCAACTCTGACCCAGAGCACGGGTTTGCCCTTCACTGACTCAGATGTCTCAATTTTTGAGGCGTTTGCCATTTTTTGTGGTCTGGGCATACATAACACGCAAATGTACGAGAATGCTTGCAAATTAATGGCGAAACAAAAGGTAGCTTTAGAGTGTTTGTCTTATCACGCGACCGCTAGCGCGGAGCAAACCCAGAAGCTGGTCAACGATAAAATAGAATCGGCCGAAAAATATGATTTATATAGTTTTAAGTTTATTGGTGAGTTTGTCATAATCATAGAAAATTTGTAGTACAATTCTGTCAACATTTAACTTTAACACTTCCGCAATTGGCAGACTTTAATCTCTGTGATGATGACACTTGCCGAGCGGTCTTGTGCATGTTTGTGCAATGTAATCTAGTCTCGAAGTTCCAAATACCCTATGAAGTAAGTCGGGTGTCATCATAGTTTGGCGATATTTGAAAACTAATGATATGTCCTCTCCTTTTAGGTTCTTTGTCGTTGGGTGCTGAGTGTGCGCAAAAATTACCGCCCCGTGAAGTATCACAATTGGCGTCATGCCCTCAATGTGGCCCAAACAATGTTTGCAATGCTAAAAACTGGTAAAATGGAACGTTTCATGACTGACTTAGAGATTCTTGGTCTTTTGGTGGCCTGCTTATGTCATGATTTGGATCATCGTGGTACAAATAACGCATTCCAAACAAAAACCGAGTCACCACTGGCAATATTATACACGACTAGCACAATGGAGCATCATCACTTTGATCAGTGTGTAATGATTTTGAATTCGGAGGGAAATAATATATTTCAGGTATGATTTCAAAAAGTTTACCTATATCTTATATATTGTAGAACAAAATAGATAGAGATAATGAGGCTGAAAAACATCAAATGTATCCGTATTATGATTTAGGAGCCAATTAAAGAAGGGTATTCATGTCAGCAATCCACTTTTTGTCAACCCTCTTTATTTTATTCCATCAGCAGAATTACGGAACTTAATTTGCTCTCATATACAATAATTAAACAACTTATTAGTATTTCCAAACACAGTTCCCCTCCTTTCGTTAATGTTATGCCAACTTTGGTATGTTTTTTTACATTTCATAAAAGTACTAGGACGAAGCTGCCGTAATCTCTATGTTTATCATTTTTAATCTTTTTCTTGGCTGTTTCAAACAGATGTGGAAAACAAATATAGTTCATCAATAATCATCGTCCTTATTTACCTCCAGGCTCTGTCACCCGAGGATTACCGTTCTGTTATGAGTACCGTGGAAAATGCCATACTTTCAACCGATCTGGCAATGTATTTCAAAAAGCGCAATGCCTTTCTGGAGCTCGTCGAAAACGGAGAATTCGATTGGCAAAGTGAGGAGAAGAAACAGTGTAAGTGTCTGAAATGTGCGTGTACCTTCTACATTCACCCCTAATTTGTGTTTCAGTACTCTGCGGCATGATGATGACCGCCTGCGATGTGAGCGCCATAGCAAAGCCTTGGGAGGTACAACATCGTTTGGCCAAGCTGGTAGCGGATGAGTTCTTTGATCAAGGTGACCTTGAGAAATTGCAATTAAATACACAACCAATCGCCATGATGGACCGGTGAGTAGAGAGAGTGAGAGAATACGTAGTTTTACAGAAGACATAATCTTCATCTACATATAGCGAACGCAAGGACGAGTTGCCTAAAATGCAAGTGGGTTTCATAGACGTGATATGTTTACCGCTCTATCGTGTGCTTTGCGACACTTTTCCCTGGATAACTCCACTGTATGAGGGTACCCTAGAGAACAGACGCAACTGGCAAGATTTGGCCGAAAAAGTGGAAATGGGTCTCACTTGGATAGATCACGATACTATCGATAAACCAGTGGAAGAATTTGCCGGTTTGAATAACGGAATTTTTTCAATTAAATTGTGTGTTTTAAATTTTTAATGTATTTCTGGAAACAGGCTGTGCCGACGAGGAAATAAAAGATATTGAATTCACCGTAACCACATTGAATTGTCATCCGCATCAGCAGCATGGCGACGACACTTCCACACCAGAGCATCATCGTGGTAGCACACGACTAAGCATCAAAAAGACGGGCGCTCTAGGCAAGGCGGTGCGTTCGAAATTGACAAAAACGCTGTACAACAGCATGGATGGCGTGAAACAGAAATCGTCATTTAAGCTGCTCGATTCACATGTAAGTGAGGATTTAGATGATAAAAGCCCAACAAGTCCCTCGCAGCCAATGGTGGCAGGTCCCGGTCACATTTCCGCTTCGTCATCCACATCTTCGGCAGGCACTTTCAGCACGACCGACAAGTCAAAAAAACGCTCCAAGCTGTGCTCGCTGTTGTGACGAAAACCATCCAATTAGAATTTGATGACCTCCGCCGATAAGCATAGTGGCGGCGGAGGGTCGACCGATGTCTAATTGGAGTTAAAACCTAAATATGTAAAATAGATATAGGGGTAAGGGAGCAACACATTTGTGCATAAAAAGAAAGGGTTAATGCAAGAATATTCAATGTGAGAGAAAGATAACTAAAAATCTAACCAAAAATCAAAATTTTTTAGCAATTAAAATATAATATTTACAAAGCTGCAACAAAAATCAAAATGAAGTCCAAAGATATACTATTAGATCAACTTAAAGTCGTAAAATATTTATGTTGCAAGTACATGAATTGTGCATATGTACGCACATACAATTATACAATTTTGAAGTGGATAATATGATAGGCCATTAAGAAATTAAACAGGGCAATTACGAATATTAGAGTATTATCAGAGAACGTAAATGAATAGGGAAGGCGGAAATGTTAAGCGAAATGTTTTTGTGTACTAATTTGTAGTTCCATATGAGGGAAAATAGAATGCTGTAAATCGTTGCGTCCCTTGATAGGATGGTGAAATTTTTTTTTCGAACTTGCGCGTTTTCGATGTTCCCTCATCGTAATTAACATATTAGTACAGCTACTATTTGAGCCTTCTCTATTCATTAACATTCTCTGTCAACACCCTCGTGTTTTTAGAACCATTATTGTTCAAGAGCAGAAAGTTTGTTTGAAAATTTTCTTTAACCCAGAACCCAAACCACAACATAATTTACTACCAAAAACTAATACAAAGGACATACCTTTATGCACTTAGATATGTACGCAAAACATGTGACTTTACTAGAACTCAATTTTTCAATAAGTGTTAGCAGTGATTACGCTTTATGTAGAGAGAACACATAGACATTTGTGTGTATTAATGTATTTTTTTATTTAACGGTAAGCTAGTCAAATTTTCACTAAGCAAAAACATTTAGATATGAAAGCAGTTTTGCTTAAGTGTGAGTCTTTATTCTAGTCGTATCATATACTAACTACACTACTTTGAATTAAATTCATATTAACTGTACAAGCTTTAGATATAATAGAGAGTTAATTAGGCAATATGCACTTTACACAGAAACGAAAGCGAGCACTGGTAGCGATTCATTAGCGAAGCATTACTTTATGAAACTTTGAATGTAGATTATACTCGCTGTGGCTGAAGTATAAGCACACCTTCGTGCTTCAAAACGCAACTGGCTGCACATGCGCAACTACTTCGTTAGCAATACACACTCTTCGATGATATTTATGCAATCTCAAATATAAATAAATAAATAATATGTATGTAAATTTGCATGTTACCTTTATTGTTATGAATTAGTGAAATATGGCAACACCTTTGTGTAAAAATTATTTTGGATATTAATTATATGTACGTGTAATGTGTGCACAATAAACACGAAAAAATAAAAACTTAATTTTACAATTTCAAACAACACAAAAAATTTAAATAATATACTATTTGAGTGAGTTTCCAAAATGAAAAAAGGTAACCGTTAACGTAACCGCAGAGCATTTTAAAGCCCATAAAACTAATGTAGCGCTTTAACGATAAAAATAGAATGAAGATGAAAGTTTTCAAAACTTGGTATGAAGTTTTGGCATAAAAAAAATACAAACAAAAGGAATCCTCATTTACTAAATGTGCATGTCAATTCCTAATTTAAGTAATGCATAAATGTAAAACAAAGTTAGGTAGCACATGCAATGGCAAAATCAAAATCAAAATGAAATCTATGAATACTGCAAAACTAAGTGTAATGAAAAGTTTTACTTTAGAACAAATAAAAAAGTATAAGTATTGCTATGAAGCAAGTCCGTTTAAAAAGTCTTATTATATCTTATAATAAATAATTATTGGCTACTGGAAGGAGATGGCTTTGTAAGAAGAGATAGAAAGATAGAATAAAGAACTTTGATTGTAAAGCAGTTTGGCATAACCTTACTTCTACTTTATTTAAAACAAAGTTTGTTTTTGAAAAAATATCAAAAACTTCTTCATATACCATATATTTAAAAACAACACACTTCTTGTGTGTTATCAAGAGTTGTTTTACGCCTTCCACTAACATCTTGTTTTAATTTCGCAAAAGCTGGTACATTTTTAACAAATTAGGGCATTGGTCCAATACGCGCTGGTGTATCTCAGGGCAGCGTTCTTGCGTCTGTGCCCTACATTCTCTACACAGCTGACCTCCCAGTGATTAGCTCTAACTCCACAATTATGGCCACCTATGCGAGTTTTGAGAACGCTACCTATTGGCAGAAATGAAGAATCCACCACTGCTGAATTAATATTTAATTGTGAAATTACTGACGAGGCAAAAAAAAAACTAAAGATAAATCGGAAACTTCTGATTATTTTAACAAACTGAGTAGTAAACTTTGAGAGTTGGAAGCTATGCTGGTTGGACAAAGGCACGTTAACCAAGCTACAAGTATGCGCGATCAACTGAGTAGCGTAATGAGCATGTATAACAAAGCCGAGAAACCGGAGAATCAACCAAAAAAGCCTATGGTTGGTTATTATGGGGTACTTACTCCCCACGAAAAACCAAAAAAAAAGCTGTTGAAGAAGTGCAACCAACAACCAGTGAGGCCACGAGAATAATTAAGGAAAATACTAGGGGTCAACTTGGCGCAGGCGAAAAATGGATGGACGTAAAAAAGGGAATCCGCTTCAGAAGAAATTGAGAACGAAATCGGACGCCATCATAATAACCAAAACGGAGGGTGCGTCATATTTGACATGACATTCTTCAGAAGGTAAAAAGCCACAGCGGTCTTGAAGAGTTGAACTGATTGAATTAAAAAATGATGCAGACAAGTTACAACTAAAACCTTACAACGTTACAATAGTGTGTAAGGACCTAGACAAAATTAAAACTCCTGAAGAAATCTGTGAGGCACTACAAAAGGAGTGTGGGATCCAAAACCTGGAGAAAACAAGCGTCAAAAGTATGACAAAAGCCCGTAGTGGTACACAAATAGTTCTTGTATGTATGCGTGCTCAGGATGCCAATGTTGCACTAAAACTGAGCAAAGTTAGGATAGGTTAGTCGGTCTGTTGCCTCCGAGAATACTCGCCTATTCAATAAATTGTTTTAGGTGCTTCAACCCGGGACATATGGCAAGAATATGTTGCAACCCCACTGACGGGTACTCTCTTTGCACGCATTGTGTTTGCAAATATATGCACAACGCTCCAGTCTTGAATACGAAAAAATTAGGATATTGCAGCTAAATTTAAATCACTATGTTGCAGCACAGAAATTGATGAAAGAAAAAAATATTGATATCGCGTTATCAAGCGAGCAATACTGCCAGCGTTCGGAAAGCACTTGGATCATAGACAGAACCGCCAAGACAGCAATATGGTCTTGCCAAGGGAAACCTTTTATGTTGCCTTCTAGGCAAGCTCACAATGGTTTCACATGGTCAAAAATGCAATGTATATATTTTGTAAGCTGATATTACCGTCCCAGCGCACCAATTAAAGATTTCGAGGAGTTTCTTCTGAAACTGTCCCTAGAAACCAGTAGCAAATCCCCAATAATAATAGCGGGCAACTTTATCGTGTGATCTACTGTTTGGGCCAAGGTAAAGAACAAACCACCGTGGACGTCTAAATTAAGAACTCATGAGCCAAATGAACCTCACTTTAATGAAAAGAAGCGCGGAAAATACCTAACAAAAATACCAAAAAAAGCAATAGCATATGCGGATGACCTCATAGTGGTAGCAGTGGCTAGATGACCTCCGGCTCTTATGCAATGAATGCATAAATGGTCTGCGCTGATGGATGTGCATAAAATGGAAGTCTTGCTCATAAGCACAAGGAAGGTGGAAGCAAGGTTATCACTCACTATAGGGGAGTGCGAGATTACTTCACAGCCGCTGCTGAAGTATCTGGGAGTAATACTAGAATCCAAATTAAAATTTAAGGAACACCTGGCGTATACTTCTGGTAAAACAAACAAAATGATGAGAATGATGGCCAATAGAGGCTGCGGGCGTTCCAGTCGGCAGTTTTTAATAGCATAAGCAATGAGTTCCGTGATATTATATGCAGCACCATTATGGATACAAGCGCTAGATATAAAATCATATACTAGATCAATAAACGCAGTCCATAGGCTTTCTGCAATCCGAGTAATAAGTGCTTTCCGAACGATATCAAGATATGTTGCTGAATTATTAGGAATCATGCCGCCTATTGACAAAAATAAATGTGGATTACACTACACTGCTGGCGCCGAGTAGAAATTCTACTGCCGCTTCCGGGAAACGCGGCTAACCAAATGGAACATTGACATTAATACTGAAAAGTCCATACAAGCCGCGTATACTCTCAGGCATGAAATATATCCACAAATACCTCTTACAGTCAGTTGCTACCAACAAGCATGAGCTCAAAAATCCACACTGTAAAGGAAACATTAGAAGAATTTAGTGGTCGTTTTTGTCAGAAAATTTAGTTATTGTCATTTTAGTAATAAGACAGATTCTAAATAACACTGAATACTAGACCAAAAAAACGTAAAGTCGAACTCAATGGAAATGACACGCAATTCCAGGGTATCACTCCCTCTTAAGTACATTTGATTATCACTTAGTGTTTTAAATGGTTATAACCAGAGGATTTGAAATTAGTTTCCCCGACGGATGGGTCTAGGTAACTGGAATGGATTCGGAGTTAAATATGTATATATAGTCAAGGACTGCCAACTCGGCAACTTTCCACAAATGTATTGTTGCCATTACAACAACAACCAAATTTGAAATCCCACATCGAAATTGATACGATCCATCCCATTTTGTTTGCTTTGTGTTTCTTTTGAGATATAGAGTATACATCAGTATCTGCATTGGTTTCCCTTGGTCTCTTACCACTGGTACTTTTTGCAGGAATCGCATTCGAAATAGTTGTTGCAGTTACTGGTGAAGATCTAAAAATTTCAATTCCTTTTAATCCCTCAACTGATGTATTGATAGAAAGTATAATCCTGACCTCCTTTGTTAACATAACGCGACTTGGCTGATGAACCCACCTCCTGTTCCAGAAATTTGTTTTGGATTTTTAACCTTTTCTTTTTAACTGCAATCTTAAAATCGGTCCCAACCTATAAATTAACCGATATAAACCGATTATATAAACGCCTGATGATTTTTCGTACCTTTTTTTATTCATTTTTGACTTAGATGTTTTCCCTACAAGTACTTCAAATTATAGAAGAGTATAATATCTAACGGTTTTTGTACCACCTAAAAATATTCGAGTTAGATACAGGGTTATGTATATATAAATGATCAGGATGACGAGACACATTTAAAACCCGAAGACTATCTGTCCGTCCCTCTGTATGTCTGTCCGTGCAAGCTGTAACTTAAGAAAAAATAGAGATATCGTTATTAATTTTGATACACGGATTCCTTGGCAAAAAATTCGTAGATGGGCGTAGTGGGTCCATTGCCAAGCCCATAAAACGCCATTAATCTAAAACATAAAAAATGCTATAACTAAGCACTAAATTAAGATATACAAATATTAAATTGGTACAGGGGATTGCTGTAGCAAGGGGCATTTGTGGGCTAAAAATCTTGAAAAATGGGTGCGGCCCTTCACTCTAAAAGGTTTAATGTACATATTTAGTAAATATAAACCACTGAAGCTAAAATAACCAAATTCGCTTACGACAGATCCTATAAGACCCCCTACCGACAGAGTAAAAATTGAGGAAATCGGATTATAATATTCTGAAAATAGTATGTCTGTATGACAAAAATTAGTTGAATCGCATTAATAATTCCCTTAGTCCCCATATATCTACCTAAAATAAAAAATTTCGATCGTTCAATATGTGAATTATCTTAATGAAATTGAGCGAGCATGTTTTCTAATAATAATGTATCTTTGTGCCTAAAATGGATAAAATCAAGTGAAAACTTGCGGTAACCTCCATATAACTAATATTAGAACTTTCAAACATCCGGTTGTCTTTACTCCTTATATATTGGTGATGGTGCGTATACCTTAATGAAACTCATGGAGCATATTATTAGTAATATGTTGTATTGCCAAAAAAATAGTTAAAATGGATCAAAACATCCTTTAGAGCCCATATACCTAATATAAAATGTTCAAACTTCCGGTTGACCTTATACACTCCCATATACTACATATATGACGAAAATGCATATGACGAATAGGTCATTCAGTGTGTGAATTTATTTATATGTTTAAAAAATTGCTTGAAAACATGTTCTCCCTTTCTCTGCCCCCAATGAAGCATAACTTTAAGCCGTACAGGTTAGTCAAAATGTGTGATATTTTAATGAAATTATATACAATATATAATATATAGAATTTCGATCCCCTGGTTGACGTTTTCCACAACAACTCAATATATTAAATGAAGTCTCTTACGGCGATCCACAGCGATCATATTCACAAACTGGACGAAGGACTGGATCTAAACATTACAGTCGCTGGCGATAAAATTTCGAGGGTCAATAATCCTAAAATTTTACTTGATGCATTTGACAGCCTGTGATTCCTTACTCCTCACACGACCGCAATAACAGCCAAAGTACAGAGCCGCATTAAAATCCTCAAATAGCTTGCCGGGAGCTCTTGGGGAAAAGACAAATTAACGTTGATGGCATCTTACAAGGCAATCGGCCGGTCTTTAACTACGCTGCACCGATATGGTCGCCTGGACGTAGTGCAACGCAGACGAAGAAGCTCCAAACATATCAAAACACTGCACTCCGGGCTATCACGGGATGCCTCTTGATATCCCCAATCGAACACCTACATAGTGCTTCCGGTTAAGGAACATAACGAGCTCTTTACCAAGCAGTTTCTGCTGGGATGTTTTCCCAAAAACCACCCCTGCAGTCGTCTGCTTGAAGCGGAACCGCCTCCCAGGAACATTAAGAGGTCTTCCTTGATTACGTCGACGATATTGGACTGTACGCCGACCAGGCTTCGAACGCAATGAACTTCAGACATGCACAGTGCAGCAATCAACATCTTCACCGACTCCCTCTCCGTGAATGACGTACTTGGAGTCAAACCACCACCCATCGCAGACGAAGAGCTCGAGTTGCCACAAGAATCTAGAGTGAGCCTCGCGCAACTTCGTTCTGGCTACTATAGCAGGTTAAACTCCAACTTGTCTAGAATCGACCCCGATATACCTAATGTCCTGCATACAATGAGTCTCCGCATGATACTAACCACCTCTTTGAATGCCCAACAAACCCTACCCATCTAACACCCATTTCCCTATGGTCCGACCCGACATCCAATCTGAAACTTACCACCCAAGCGGGGATTAGATAGCCGTTACAAAAACAACAACAATATTTTTCATTTTGCGGTTTCAATGCTTTCCAAATTAGTTCCATTATTTACACATGGAATGTATTTTATTGAGTCGGTAAGCGAAACTTTTATTTTCGAAACAACTTCAGTGATATCAACGTAATATTTCTCGATGGAATCAGCATTTTTTCGATCAAAACGGGTTCAATGATTAGACTACTTTTCTATGCGCCTTCATGTTCAAACTTCAGACAGCATAAGACCAAACAGAAAATTAATAAATTATTTGTGTATACTTATATATGATTTAGTTTTGTTTATATAAGGTTAGGATTGAAATTTACGATTGGAAAAGCAGATTAAATTTATTGTATTAAATAAAAATAAAACAATATACTGGATAACCACACAAATCAATGTGTTTTACTGTTAACTATTTAAATTTTTGCTGATTAAATTTATTTTGTCCAATATGGCACAAACACACACATTCACATTTTAAGTCGATATTTTTATTAGTATTCTTTTTAATTAACATTATCAGTTTTTGTTGCAACGCATTAATGTGCTTATGAGCTGGAATACGAACGTTTACACATTAAATTTTTTTACTTTGTTCAAAATTAATTAGTGACTTTCACACAATATGTAGATTTTGTTTTCTGAATTTATAACAGTTTGTATAAATATCAGTACACAACTGGATTTAGATGAAACACTAGTTGGTTTGTGAAATTCTGCTTACAACTTTTAAGTCGTAATTATTTCAATTTTTACTAACTCCAATCGTCTATGCCCTAGTTGGATATAGAGGCTTTACTTATTAGGACTTTTGTTTTTTGGGTATATAAATTCAGTACAAATAATATAAATAGGGCATAATATGTAATATTTTCTTAATTCAAATCTATTCACACAATATTTATAAATAGTATTTTTGTTGATTAACTTCAGAAGTCAAAATTGTTGTGGTTTTTGCGTTTTCATGGCTTTTTGAACATAAGCCAGAATCTATTACAGTTGATTTACATAAATATATTACAATCAGGAGTAACTAGAGATGGTTAAATTAGACTTGGCTTTCGTTCTAAAAATGATAAAAAATGATAATAAAATTGTGAATAATCGGAGCATTATTTGGATGCCTTTGTTGTTGTTATTACACCAAATATTTTCACATGAAAAACTCTTCGGTTGAATGAGAAAGCGGGAGTCACGTTCGCCCTGGACGATCTAACACGGATATTTCTATGACGCGCAAACCTCGATATGTGGGGTCGATAACTTGCAATCCCTTCGGATTGTAAATTCGCTCGTTTTGGGAAGAAATAAATTTGGATATTTTTCGAAGAGTCTGCTTGAAAATATCCAAGTAAATATAGCATTTTCGTTAAACAACTGAAATTATTTTGTCCTCACCTTTTCATAGTGTGTTTCCGAACACATGTACACAAGATAAGCGGTAATGCATCCGATGCAACCTTCACAATATGTACTGCAAGAACCCTTTTCGGCTTCCGCGAAAAATTCATTTAGCCGATTAATGGTCGACTCAAATACTTGCCGCTCAATCTGCAGTCATAAGATAACAATATAATAAATAAATTTCATTCAGTTCACTAACAAGGTCGTAAACCGCTTACTCACCAGGCCTTCTAATTCGCTGGGGAGTCGTGTGTGGAATTTGACAGAGGTGCCTTCGCTATAATCGCGTTGTATAAACACCTTGTTAGAGCCGCCCTGCAGCGACGTTAAACCTTGCGACATCTTTTTTTTTCTAAAATAAAGTAAATAAGCATTAATTCGACAAATAAAGTTTTTGTTTAAGCATAAAATATTTTATTTAAGGAATTTAATATCACTTCTTAGTGCTCATATTTTTCTTGCTTGTTTCTGGGAAATCTAGAATTATTGGCCGATGCAAGGACATTTTCTTTTTTTATGTGTTTGAGCTCTTTCAGCACTGAATTTTGATTGAAAACACACCTTTAACTTTTGTATTGAAAATAACAAGTTTTGATCACTTTCAAATAATAAAATTAACAAATTCCCATATAAATTTCCTTCTATTTAACTTTTCAACAAAACTTATCTGCTTTCTCCTCCTACGATTCTCCATCCATCTTTTGAGATCTGTCAAACTGCAGTGTTACCATAGTTAAAAGTCTGAAAAATAAATAATGTGGCGAACACGAATACAGGAACAAGTCAGAATCAACGATAAGCTGCTAACTCTACTTTTACACACAGATTCTTTTGTAACCCAAACCGGTTTATTGTGGGCGAGGGGACGACGAGACAAGACGAAGGGACCGTGCCACTCGTGTTCGGGTGGCACACTTTGTGTTCTTGTTCCTAACAGCTCGCTGCTACCCTTTTTAGCATTCCTTTTCACTTTCAAATTCTTTGAACGGTTGCAAAAGCGCTCGGTTTAAAAAGAAATCGTTCACAAATTTGAATTCTGTTATCTATTTTGTATGTAATATGCAAATATGTATGCATAGAATAATAAAAATATTTTGAAAAATTGTAAAAAAGGAGAAAATTAAGATATAGATTATGGAGTACAGAAATTATGAATTTTTAATAATTAAAGATTAGGAAATCCCTGTTATAAATTTGGCCTTGAAAATATTAGTAGCGGATATTCAATACATTCTGGTGGATTAGGGAATTCCCGTCTTAAGTATTTCTTTGAAACTATTAAGCGGGTAGGTATTATGCATATTGTTCTACCATATTAATGGTAATTCATTGCAAGCAAAATGTGTGACCAACATCTCAACATATAAATGCAATGCAACACGCTCTAAGTGTTGCGCAGTCGAACCTCACAAATTTTTACGAAAATTTTGTGAAAAGGAATGCAGAAAAACTGGACTCGAGTTTCTGGACTCTTTTTGACCGTGTGAATGTACAGAGCGACACCAAAAGAGAATTTCAAAAATATGAGGGCAAAAGAGTCCCAATGTAAAAACCGTCTATAACCAACTAGACAGCGAATTCGTAGTTGCCAGAATGTTCTAGTGGCGAAGTTATGTTAGTTGAATTACATAGTAGGCGCTTTATCGAGATATCCGTTGTAATATAATAATATAAAAACTGATATAAACATTGAATAGTCTATTCCGCAAATATCGAATGATATAATTTAGTGCTCAAAACTCAAACTTGCAAAAGAGTATAAAAGAATGATAAGGATGATATTTTCTCATATATCTCAGGTTTTCATTTGTACTGTACACATGGTCTTGGATTGTCTCAGCTGTTGGTTGTAATGTGTACAGTAAGAAGTAAATTGCTGCAAGTACACTAGTGTTTAAAAAAAGGTGCGTGTGGCACTTAGGGACTGCCGCGGTAGAGCTATAGCATAGCATTTTTAATCAACTTATGCAATTATAATTATTTATTTTTTTTTCTTTGATATTAATTCAAGTTATTATACATTTTTTTTATTAAATTCAATATTTTTATTTGCCATTAAAAAATTGTAATTGTATATGTTTTTTTTTTATTCACCCTGCTTTTTAATTTATTTGTTCCGTTTGAGATATGCAAAATTACGCTTAACAGTATGCAAATATTTTGCGCATAATCTGTGATCGTGTTAGGTTTATTTTCGTTACGGAATTTCTTGATTTGGTCGCCGCGCTCAAAGCTCGCGATAGAAGCTATGCAATAGCATTAAATTATTTGTAAATGTTAGATGTTAGTAAAGGTTTTCTCTATTCAACTTCAAGTTTATTATTGAATAAGTATAAAGTACAATAAATGAAGAAGCGCATTAATAGCTGAAAACATCGAATCAGGAATCTGGGACCGAATGTCAGCACTAACGCGCAGAACATTCTCTTCCAAGGCGTCAATCATATCGGACTTATCTGCGTAGACAAGCGACTTTACATAAAAATATACTAGCGGTGTTAAATTTCCCGATCATGGTTGCCATGCCACAGGCCTACGACGCGAGATAATGCACTCATTAAAAGTGCCCTTAAATAAGTTGATTATTTCGTTGGCTGTATGGAATGTAGCGCCATGTTGAGGAACCAAAAGTCGCTCTGATCAACATCCTTCAATTCAGGCACGAAAAAGTCATTAATTATGGCTCTATATCATTCCTCATTGACTATAACATTATAGCCGATTTCATTTTTAAAGAAATATGGACCAATGATTCCCTCTGCCTATACAAGTATAACACCTGAAACAGAGACTTTCAACAATGGCAATCACATCTGTTAAAATGCGACAATTTTGTTTATTAACGTACCCATTCAACCAAAATTAAGCTTCAATCGGGAACGTTGGCCATCTAGTTTTGGGCCATGGACGCGGATGGACTTTTTCGAGTATTCTTAGATACTCTGCTCCACAGCAGCAATAGCGTCTTCGGTGCACACGAACCGACGTCTCTAAGGATCCATTAAAATGTGTGATTGCTCGAATTACCGACACTGCTGGGCGAATATGTTGACTGAATATTGGACGCAGCGCGCGTCGAACCGAACAATTATTCTGGTAAACGATTTTCACTACCAACCCAACTGAGTATAAGTCAAGTAACAGCTTTCAAATAGATCAATTCCAAAGAATATATTGCCTCATTGAAAGGCACACATCTAAAAAAAAACACCCATGACTTCTTCGAATTCATCCCTCCAACACTTTGTAATTCCAAACTGTGTTATTACTGGATATCGTCGTAACGATAATTCTATATGTGTAACTTGTACAACTGGTGGTTTGAGCCATGCCTTCCCATTATTATCCAGTTAACATTATTATAAAGATAAATATGAGTTTTTACTTGCCACAGGAAGGGTTGATATTCATAAGATTTGCTTAGGAGCTATTGATATATTGGTATATGGGTAATGTGATTAAAATCAAAATGCGTATACAGAAATACCATTGCATTATATTCGAATGACTTTGTACGAGAATGAATTATACGTAAATTTTAATTTTTTTTTAAATATATTTTTGAAAATTCTTTTCTACAACTTTCTTTATATTTTGTTCAAATTCTTCAATAAAATTTAAATACTAACTATTAACATTCTCAATAAATTGCTATCAATATTATCATCGACTTCAATTAAATTACAATTTGTAGTATTAATTGCATGCCGTGTTCTACTCAATTTCATATTTTCTCTATTTCTTTGTCTTTGTACTCTCCCTATAAGCAATTTAACGTAAGGCATTATGAAAATCACTTCCAAAAAAATTTTTTATTAAATGAATGAATGCCGGATTAGCAAATAATATCGCCTACCAAATATACAAATTATGTTCACAATTTTGTTAACAAATTGAAAGTAAAGAAAACAAGTAAGGAAGCGCTAAGTTCGGATGTAACCGAACATGTTATACTCTCGCAAAGTCAAATGGTATACTCGTTTGAGATTTCTTTGTTGATTGACCGATATTTTCGGTAGAAGGTCAACAATAGGCACTGTGGTCCACATATTCAGTACCTAGGGGCTTGAACAGTTTAGGTTCGATTTAGACAATTTTCGGTAAAAAGGTGGCATACTTCAATTGCATTATTCACGCAAAGTTTTATCCCGATACAGTCATTGTTGCCTGATTTGCATAGTGGAAAGTGAAAGAATCAGATGGAATTGAAAATGGTGCTATATGGGAAGTAGGCGTGGTTGTAATCCGATTTAGCTCATTTTCACATTATGCAATAGAAATATAAAAAGAACGTTATACACCGAATTTGGTTGAAATCGGTTAAGCAGATCCCAAGATATGGGTTTTCTACAAAAAGTGGGCGGTGTCACGCCCACTGTCTAATTTTGAACGCAGTTCCTATAAAGTTATCTCATACCATTCCAGAGATAAAATTTAATGTCTCTGGCTTGTTTCGTGCTTGATTTGTCGCGCCTTCAATAGTTTTAAACAGTACCGTTATATGGGGAGTGGGCGGAGTTGCCACCCGATTTCAACTATTTTCACACCGTCAATAGAAGTGCTAAAAACATTTGCTTCCAGTGAATTTTGTTATTATATATATGTTATTATATTAGCGGTTTAGAAGATATGCACATTAAACCTATTAGAGGCGGGACCACGCCCACTTAAAAAAAAATTTAACTGCAGATGCCCCTCCCTAATGTGATCCTGTGTACCAAATTGTATCTAATTGCGGAGCTTAGTTATGGCAATTTATTTGTTTTCGATTAATGGCGTTTTGTGGGCGTGGCAGTAGTCCGATTACGCCCATCTGCAATACCAACCGTCTCACGGTACCAAGAAACATGTCTACCAAGTTTCATAAAGATATCTAAATTTTTACTCAAGTTAGAGCTTGCACGGACGGACGGACGGACGGACAGACAGTCACCCGGATTTCAACTCGTCTCTTCATCCTGATCATTTATATATATATAACCCTATATCTAACTCGATTAGTTTTAGGTGATACAAACAACCGTTAGGTGAACAAAACTATTATACTCTGTAGCAACAGGTTGCGATAGTATAAAAAGGAAGTAATGGGATATCGTCAAAAAACACCAAGAAAATAACTCTATAACTGAAGTGCTGTTGATGTCGATTCAATCAACTAACTAATCTTGGAAAAAAATGGTAAAACATTTAACTATCAAACAATGCACTTTAAATTTACCTAAACTTTTCTAACTCATCAAAATCAAATTAACGTTGTCAATTAAATTTTCGTCAAAAGTTGCAACAAGCCAACCGAATGCAAAGAAAACGGGAAAAAATTCAATAAATTTCTATTTCGTCAACTATATAAAATTGACCTTAGAAAACAACAATCACACAATGCACTTGAAATTAGTATAAAAATTTCTAACTCACCAAAATAAATCGAATGATATCAAGGATTATTTCCACTTCAGTGTGTTTTTCTTTCACAAACAATACTTGAAATTAAATGTGCGTTAAAAATGTAAGTGTAACAGAATTTAGTGTTGAAACACGCTAGGTCCAAATAAAATTAAATGTGGAAAAAAATCACAACCACAAATTTGCCGTAAATGATACACAATTATCTGATATACATATGTATTTGCAACTTATAGAGAACAGCGACGAAATGTACTTCTGCTAAGTGTGACGCACAAAGAAGATATACCATCGACCAATGGATCAACGCGCCACTGCGCTTGTAGTTGTTGTAGTCGCTAAATTATTATTATTATTACCTATGTTCCGTTGGTGTACATGCGAAAAAATAATATTGTGCACTTCTGCACGTCTTCTCCTTTCCAACGGTATAAATTATCCAGATATGTCAAAGGGAACACAAACTTTTTTGTTAGCGTAACTATATACATACTTATATACATATGTAGACATCATTATCCACAAATGTCAAATGGTTGCTTATATTTTATTGTCTAACGTCGATTTAATCAAAGAAACCATTCAAGCTTTCAAAGGAAACAAACTTAGGGTCCGATATTCTTCCAGCCGAAATTCATAAAGTGCAAATTGATCTAATTTATAATATGCTGCACTATTTTTATACTCTCGCAACCTGTTGCTACAGAGTATAATAGTTTTGTCGCCTAACGGTTGTTTGTATCACCTAAAACTAATCGAGTTAGATATAGGGTTATATATATATAAATGATCAGGATGAAGAGACGAGTTGAAATCCGGGTGACTGTCTGTCCGTCCGTGCAAGCTCTAACTTGAGTAAAAATTTAGATATCTTTCTGAAACTTGGTAGACATGTTTCTTGGTACAGTGAGACGGTTGGTGTTGCAGATGGGCGTAATCGGACCACTGCCACGCCCACAAAACTCCATTAATTAAAAACAAATAAATTGCCATAACTAAGCTCCGCAATAAGATACAAGACTGTTATTTGGTACACAGGATCACATTAGGGAGGGGCATCTGCAGTAAAATTTTTTTTAAGTGGGCGTGGTCCCGCCTCTAATAGGTTTAATGTGCATATCTCCTAAACCGCTAATATAATAACATATATATAATAACAAAATTCACTGGAAGCAAATGTTTTTAGCACTTCTATTGACGGTGTGAAAATAGTTGAAAGCGGGTGGCAACTCCGCCCACTCCCCATACAACGGTACTGTTAAAAACTACTAAAAGCGCGATAAATCAAGCACTAAATACGCCAGAGACATTAAATTTTATCTCTGGGATGGTATGAGATGACTTTATAGGAACCGCGTTCAAAATTAGACAGTGGGCGTGCCACAGCCCATTTTTAGGTGAAAACCCATATCTTGAGATCTGCTTAACCAATTTCAACAAAATTCGGTACATAACGTTACTTTTATATTTCTATGTTATAGTGCGAAAATGGGCGAAATCGGACTGCAACCACGCCTATTTCCCATATAACACCATTTTCAATTCCATCTGATTCTTTCACTTTCCACTACGCATATCAAGCAATAATGATTATATCGAGGTAAAACTTTTCGTGAATAATACGTTTAAAGTATGCCACCTTGTGACCAAAAATTGTCTAAATCGAACCAAAACTGTTCAAGCCCCTAAGTACTAAATATGTGGACCCCAGTGCCTATAGTTGACCTTCTACCGAAAATATAAGCCAATCCACAAAGAAATCTCAAACGAGTATACCATTTGACTTGACTTGAGTATAAAATGTTCGGTTACATCCGAACTTAGCCCTTCCTTACTTGTTATTAAATGAATGTGATCGTTGAATAAGTTTTTGTTTGATAAAAACTTGATTGCGTTCTACTATCAGTCAAAAATGTTTGACTGGCTTTGTCACGTTAGCACAGAAATCTAGTATTTTTTTAGATTCATTAGATCTTAAAAGCATAACACTTGGAGCTAGGGAAAGATACAGACCATCTTATTCTGATAAATTAATTAGACGTAACCTAGAATTGTACGTCTCAATTTCCTTAACGTGTAACAAAGCCAACTTACTACTACGAAATCGGTGATGACTTGGTTAGCGATATTATATATCTAATAGATAAATCGATAAAAAATAAATTAGTCGAATAAAGTACATTTTAATTGATATTTATATTAAACATTAAATGGGAAAGCTGGCGAGCGCTAATAACACTAATTATGTAGCTAATAACTCTATGCGAAAACTACGACTGTATGTATGGTATATATGTACGGGCCTGTGTAGATAGGTACAAAGCTAGGCACATGACAAAGGATATTGGTAGAATTTAGTAAAACCGAAAACTTTCGCAAAAATCGCTTTAATCACCAATCGAAAGTCTAGTGATTAAAATAGTTCAAAGTAAAAATTGAAAAAGCAAAAGAAATAAGCTGAAACACCGGCCATTCGATACATGCAGCTATCCTTACTATTTGCACTTATGTTTATTAATGTTATTAGCGCATTGTTATGCGGTCTGTGGCAAGCAGCAATATATCGATTGCCATGCGTGAGGCATGAACAACAGCAACAAAGTGCGCGCAGTGACAACCATTCGAAGTGGCTCGGTTGCTGGCGCCAGCGTGGTGAACCGATTGGTGCTTTGCGGAGAAGTGAGAATGACGGTCGTCACCGGCATAGGCAATACCAAAAAATCAATTGAAATAAACAATAACAATGGGCTTGTGTGTGTGTGTGGCGAGTATCACCGGTAATATTACACACATGCCACGCTTATGAACGTTTGCAGCTTCAACGGTTGCATTATTGGCACAATTTGTGATAATCGGTCGCAGAAAAAATTTGCTACTCCGCTTTTGCTTTTATTTCAGTGATATCGCTCACATCAGGTTTTGTTAATTTTACTTTCATTTCCTTGCGGCAACCGTGCACGTTAATTGTATGTATTTATGGATGCACATACTTGTATGAAGCATATTTATTGGAAATATGTAGCATTGCTGGTCTAGTCAGTCCGTCCGTTAGACGATCCGCTACATACACATGTAAGTATGTCTTCTTTGATTAACTTCGCTTTTTCTCTGGCCTATTGTTGGTATTAAAACTGAGCTGGATGAACATGGCATTGTAAATGTCATGATGCAAGTTCGCCTCGATTGACAAGCTTTGCTGTCGGTTTAATGCCACACTGAGAGTGATGCTCGTGAATGTCAAGCAAGTCACTGTGGACAACCCCATAAGTACTTTCGATGAAAATAATATAATATGTATGAAATCATATGTGCCTAACTGAAGTAAAAATTGTGAACCGATTGCACTTAGTTATTTTCAAAGCAACCTGCAGAGGATACATTTTTCATATTTGGGGTATTAAGACAATATTTAGACATTATATACATATGTAGATGCGGAAATCATGTTCTGGCGTCGAATCTGCCCACAGTAGAGTCTGCGGCGTTTTGCCCTTATCCGGGAGTCGACCTTATGAATTTTAGAAATGGTGGCCACCATCTATCCAGCAGATATGACTGTCTTCACCTTCTTCGGACCAGGTTTGTCGGATGAAGTATGCTATATAGTCGGTTCCGTGATCTCTGGTGTGTACCAGTGAACCCACGTTTTGTGTACGAGGCTGATTCGGCTCAATTTTTAATAGCCTTCGAGAATGTACTAGTCGATAGTAAATTTCTCGTGGTGGTGTCATTGGGCTGTGAGACTAAGAACATTTAGTTTTTAATTTTTAAGTACTAGAAAAATTGTGCTTTCTAGATAATGGCCTTTACGACACAATTTTCGAGTACTTTTTCCACTAATTTAAGCCGTATGTCATAAATAGTACATTCAATAGTCATAGTTTATTGCTAACGCAGTAAGAAGTAGTCTAATGGTGTTAAATTACAATTGTTTGGAGGGCATTCAGTGTCACAATTTCTGGAAATTATCGAATCTCCAAACTTTTCTCGTAAAAATTCGGTTGATTCACGTGATCCGTGGCACGTAGGTTTTGTTGGAACCAAATGTTCTCAATATAAACTTCTTGCTATTGCGGCCACCAAACTGTTAATTTAGGTGAATATTATATTATTTACCGCACCGCTCAGATAAGGGGGAAACTCATCGGAGAAGAGAATTTCTTAAAAAATCGTTATCGTTTTCAAATTGTTCCAAGGCAAAATCAGCAAATTCACGACGTTTACGGTGATTCAATGGCTTCAGTTCTTGAGTGAGAACAATTTTATATGTATGCAAGCTCTAATCATTTCTCAAAATCCGCCAGCTTGTGGTTTGAGACAGTCCCAATTCTTGAGAACGTCTTGAAATCGATAAATTGCGGTCTTCAGGCAGCAATATTTTCAATACTTCGAGCAGTTCTTTGTCTTATTGGCACTTGAACATTATGTAAAGTAAACGTACGCTCAAAATTTTCAACAATTCGACGAATTGCGAGCACAGGTGGACGATTGTTACCACCATAAAATGGCAATAGCGCACGAAAAGTTGCAATTGAAGAACGATTATTTCGACAATGAATAAGTTTTGATTAATTAATTAAATGGCCGAAAGCACACATAGTAATTATATCATCTCTATTAGAAAACCGGTTGGAATACATGATAACCAGACATCACCTGACCTATTTATAGAAAATTCCAGTTAAAATATACCGACTTATGTTTTTCTTCTTGTTACGAGTATATGTAACCTGTATATAACTTTCAGGATTATGAGTGAATATTTCCAGCGAAATATTTTCAGTTGCTTGTGGACACACTGTGCGATGATTTGAGCTCAAATGTGATTTCATTTGCGCATTATGCATCTTTAAAATCGACAAAGTTGATGCTGCGTCGATTGGATTTTATGATCTTGTGATTAAAGCGCTCAACCAGAGAGCGTCGTTTATGCGCGTACCGGTGCCCGCTTGCACGCTTTACTCACTGACCCAGTTAGTAGAGAAGTTGTAATTGAATGGTGTGGACACAAACATACTTAGTTATATCCACATACTGACGCTATATTGCATTGTCTTCACTTCTTCCGATGATGGTGTTATTATTTGTCTCGTTGCAAAAAACAATGCGGCTTTTCAGCGACAATACACTCAGCGGTAACGACCAATTGAAATTAGCCGAAGGCATTTATTGGTGGCTCCTGAGATACCGGTTCCGGTGCGTATGGTAATCTCAAGCGAATTGCATTCGTCTCACAGTTAGCTGTTTATGGGTTGTGATAAAAGGAATTGCTGAGTGTCGAGGTTGGCATTTGATCACCGTGTATGGACTAGACTGGTGGCCAAGTTCGAGTTCGAAAATCAAACAAAGCTACAAAACGGACAGTTGTTTCATCTATTACGAGTTGTTCCAGCAGGTTATCATATCGCGTGTGAAGTGTGAAGACGACGAAGTTGTGCGCGTTTAGTACTTGGTGATTTGTGACACTTGTGTATATGTGTATGTACACGAGGACTCTTAATAATGTCCGTGTCATCTCGATTTGCCTTCACATTGTTGTTGTCAATACGAGCACTTCTACTCAGTGCCAGTGACAATGTGAAAATAATAACTGCAGATGGATCCAACAAAAATGGTGAGCATTTGGTTCCAAATGCAAGGGATATACTGAATAACGTTAAACCACAGAGTGTGACCAACCCATTTCCTACCTACGTTAAGGATTTAGCTTACAATGGAAGCACAAAAGGCAACGTAATACCACACAGTGATGAATACTTGGACCGTAATCAGCGTTTGTGCTTCGAGAAACGCAGCTTGCTTTCCTGCATTAAATATAAAGCTTCAAAAATAATTTGGATGTTGGCCACAAACAGGATTGGCTACTTCCCCAATGAGTACAGTCGTGCATTGGTAGAGGATCAACGTCGCATACGCGTCATTCAGCTAGGTGAACCGGCGGATATTATGGTTTTCAATGATGCTCGGGGCTTACAAGGTACATAAAAGCGTGTTAGAGCGATACTGGGAGCTCGTGGACACACATATATAGTATAAGCGCAGGCGTTTCTGTATGTGTACTAGGTTGCTTAAATTAATTAAAGACATCAATTAGTGGTATGATTACAATTATCTGATTTATCAACATTTCCGCATTTTTGAACCCCCGCTTTGCTTACAATCCTGAAAGATAACATAGTTGAGATACTAGACGCTTGTACGATATTTTCATAAATTAATTCGAAAAATATTTATTCATGGAGTGGCAAATTGAAACTTTCTGTTTAAAACGTTTATATTGTGGTTTTTATAACTGCTGATATACCGATGCTAATGCATTATCTTGAGATACCTTTAATAAACATTAGATTGCCTTTACGACCGATATACCAACTTATAATTAAATGAAATGAAAACTATTTTTATTTTATAAAAAATTTCTCTTTTAAACGGTCTAAAATTAAGTAAATCTTTTATATTTAACATCTTTAAACTGAATTATGTGTTTATAAATAAAATTCTACCACAAGGGACACTGGTGAGACTAGTGTAAAACCCAAAGTAAGATTCACCGTCCTTAAGGTGGCTGAATGTCTGAGCTAAATGATTTCAAACTGAATTAATAAATTTTCTGCCACGAAAAATTAAAAAGGAGAGCTTAACTTTTCAAGAAGTAGGAATATTTTGTCATATGTTAGAAGATGTTACATCTTTTAACGGAAAGGCTTATAGTACATAGCAACAGTTCAATATCTCATCCTTATAAAAATATCGAATAGGGTGTTTATAAAATCAATTCAGACAGGTGCAACAAGGAGAATTTCTTCTAAAATTACTTTCAGCCGCTGAATTCACTTCTCCATTGTTAGCTTAATTTATTTGTCTTTGAGCAATCGTACACATCTACGATAATATTTCAGGTGACAGTGAGTTTGTGAGCATAGTGAAGTTTCTCAAACGTGCAACCGAGACCTTTAGCCGCAATCATGCCGTACAAGTGAAGTTATCCAGTGAAACAGGTGCGCGCATCATGGACTCCGAAGTTGGTAAGTTGTTCAATCCACTTAATTTTTATATAAAAAATGCGCTTAATGCAAAGATGGGCGTTCACGCCATGACCGCAAACGCCGCAAATGGCTCGTCATACTGCCACTCATCATTCTGTTGAAAATCGCCCACCTCAAAATGAGCGTTGTGACTTTGCTGCTAGGCGTTCTTGGGCTGAATGTGTTGTTAGTGGGCGGCATGGGCTGGTTGATACACTATCTAAAATTTAAGACCTTGTGTAAAATACATCCGCATTTGGTGCAATCGCATTCGCATGTCTACGACTCCGATCCGGCTGGTAAGTGAAGAGTCCGCTGAAGTGGGTCGAACAGTTCGAATAATGTACACTTATTGTATATTTATGAACATATGCTTGCATAAAAACTGGCAATTGTCAATTATGGTTCTATTTTTATCTTTCCTTCCTTTTATTTTGCTTGCACATAAACGGTTCACTCTAATGACGATACACGCGGACAGATTATTCCTCATTCATTGGCAGTAGCTTTCCTGGCTCCTATTATAGCGGCGCTGGTAGCGGTATTCATGAAGTTAACGCAAAAGACTGGGCCACAAGTAAGGCGTATAATGGCGGCAATTATTTGGACACCATCAGTAAGCGGTTGAAATAGCTCAAAATGATGTTGTGGCGGTATTTGTTGAACCTTTGGCGAATATATTATGTGCGATACTATCACTTTTATGCACAGGTAATCGGAAATCTAGGGTAGACAAGTTGCTATTAGTTATTTAAATGTGTGTCTATATTAAGAATATGCAATACCATGGTGTCTTCATATGACTAATTTACCAGATTTAATTTTAAGAAATATATTTATAATCATTATACTTAAAGATATACATTGTGTCCGGAAATTGTCATTCAAACTGCGGTGAAAAGTTTTCTGTAATTTTTTTTTGTTAAGTTGGTAGCACTGTTCTTAATTACTCTTAAAAACTCTTGGTTGAAACGGATTATATTATATTATATATTATTATATTAAATATATATATATATATATATATACACATATTTTGAAATCTCGAAACTGGCTATATCGATATCTTTGAGATTTTTTTTAGGGTTCTCAAATTAGTAGTTAGATGTGTTTAAATATGCCTTATTTTATGTTCATGTCATTTACTTTTTTTAAAACATAAAATGTTGCTTTTTAATTTTCGCTTATACAAATTTTCAATAATATTTCTTATATGTATTATAAATAATTGACTTAAAATCATATCATCACAATTAAAAAAAAAATATTACAAGTTATTTAGTAATTTTAAGTAGTCAATTATGTATAGTATTAAGTTTGTTTATACGTAAATTCCAATTCGCCTGTGTAATTTCAAGTAAATTAAAATACAGTCCAAAAAAAAAAGATAAAAAATATAAAATAAATAAATAAAATAGTTTTTATTTCAATAAGTTGGATAAATTTTTGTTAACAGAATTTGATTTAGAATTACGGCAAAAAACACGAAAAAACGTTTTCTTAAGTAGCACCGAAACTATAATATCCTTCACAAATACAAAAAAAAACAAGTAAGGAAGGGCTAAGTTCGGATGTAACCGAACATTTTATACTCTCGCAAAGTCAAATGGTACACTCGTTTGAGATTTCTTTGTGGATTGACTGATATTTTCGGTAGAAGATCAACTATAACCACCGTGGTCCACATATTTAGTACTTAGGGGCTTGAACAGTTTTGGTTCGATTTAGACAACTTTTGGTCACAAGGTGGCATACTTTAAACGCCGACTCACGGTACCAAGAAATATGTCTACCAAGTTTCATAAAGATATCTAAATTTTTACTGAAGTTAGAGCTTGCACGGACGGACGGACGGACAGACAGTCACCCGGATTTCAACTCGTCTCTTCATCCTGATCATTTATATATACATAACCCTATATCTAACTCGATTAGTTTTAGGTGATACAAACAACCGTTAGGTGAACAAATCTATTATACTCTGTAGTAACAGGTTGCGAGAGTATAAAAATTCTTTAGAAGAACTTGATTTTGATCGTTGAGTTTGTATGGAACCTATATGCTATAGTTACTCGATCTAAATAATTTCTTCAAATATTGCACCATAACCTAAGAAAATAACCGGTGCCAAATGTCGTAAAAACATCTCCTCAAATGCAAAAGCTTTCCATATAAGCCCTTGATTCCGATCGTTCAGTTTGTATGATCACTATATAATATAGTGGTGTGATAACAACGGTGCAGATAAATGAGCAGATAAATATTTTAGAGGAACTCCGGCATTTCCTTCCTGTTCAGGGTTTAATAAAGCTGAAACTATACATAATATTCATGGTAGTATAGCACATAGCATATATAATACCATTCCAGTAAAACAAAGTAAGCATTGAGGACTTTCTTTCCAAAAGCTCAAAATATAACGAATATGTTTTTATCAATCTCTCCTCATATAAGGGCTATGCTTATAGTTTTCGTTCGTTTCATTCATTTGTCAAAAAATTTCTCTGTGCATGCGATGACAAATTACTCCGATTGAATATAAAGTAATAGAAATTGTGGATATCTCAATAAAGTATAACATGTTTCTATTCTATTTTTTTCCATTCCACGTCTATGCTACTATGCGAGTCAACTAGTCTTATGCCAAAGGCTTGTTCGATTCCTCTATATCAAAGTTTCAACTAGCTATTTCTAAACTTTACAGCCCATTTTCATATCAACTTAATATAAATATAAGCTATATCATATTATACAAAATTTCGCTGTAATTAACGAGAAATCAACTGATGATAACAAAGCAGTATTAATTAATAGAGAAAATATTAATATTATTAAAAGTTTCGTGCATTCCTTGATTTCACTTGTTGTTTTTTTCAATTAATGGTTACAGTAATTTCTATGGATTTATGGTCCGCAATCAAACTGGTTTGACACTCAGTTGCTGTCAAGTGCTGTGTGGAAGCCAAAATGGTCTCACATAAATTTAATTGCCACATATAAAAAACACCGGCAAAAAAAGAAAAATTTCATGAAAAACAATTTCCACCTTTTGCTCTCTATTTTGCTCAATGACTCATAACAGAAAATATTAGGAAGACATTTTTAGCAGTTGGCATTGGAACTATGTATTTCCTCTCCCACATAGCAAAAACCATAACAGGATGTGAATATGTGTTAATTTAGCTTTTGCTTTCCGACAGTGGCGGTGGCAGTGGCGGTACAATTTACATATGTATGTACATCATACACATGTACAAACAATTATGTGTTATTTGATGTTTTGCCCACAATCCCCGCCGCAGATAGTGTTGTTGCTATATTTACACAGTTTTTATTCTAGTTTCGAAGTGTCCTTATTGTGTTATTGGATATAACAAATTGTTTACAAATATTTGCACTGAGTACACTAGGTGTATTTTATTTTAAGCGAATATGTTCCTAAAGTTTCAAAAAAATTAAAAAAATTTCGATTTGTACATTTTGGTGTCAATAAAGCTACAAATATTGTGTAGCATAGTGTTATTATGTTTATCTTCAATGCAGCAATTTTACAAGCTTTGTTCTTTTTAGCCAGAAAGAGCACTTTTGGACACCGACAGGTGTAAAAGCAAAAATTATTAAAGTGCTTTGTTATAAGCCAAAAACAAATATACAAACAGTTATTTACCTTTCGAGCCCCTAATGTTCTGATTACTGGCTTGTAGCGAATATTGAACACGTTGCCCGGAGTTTATTAGTTTCGTTCAGCTAACGGTTTTTGTAACACCTAAAACTAATTCAAAAATGGTAGATATTGTATAAGAAAATGATCAGGTGGACGAAACAAGTTGCATTGCGGAAATAAAATTAAGATATATTGATGAAACTTGGAACGTATGTTCCCAGGCACTATGGCAGTGGTGGTATTGCAGATGGGAGTAACTGGACCATTTCTGTGACCACAAAATGCTGTTAATCGTAATCTTATAAATTGCTATAACTACAAGAACAACTACCGAAAAACAATCCCCGAATTAAGACAAAACTTGGTATAGGGAATTGTATTAGGGCATCTGTAGTTTGAAAAATAAGAGAAAAACAAGAAAAAACGTTAACTTCGGTAGCACCGAAGCTATAATACCCTTCACAAATACAAAGAACTTGATTCCGATCGTTTAATTTGTATGGCAGCTATATAATATAGTGATCTAATCTGAAAAATTTCTGAGGAGAATACATTGTTGCCTTAAACAACAACTCGTGCCAAATTTCGTGAAGATAGTCAAATAAAAAAGTTTCTAATACAAGTACTTGATTCCAAATAAGCAGACGGACGGAGACCCTTCACAAATAACAAAGTTTCCATACAAGAACTTGATTTTGATTGTTCAGTTTGTAAAACAGCTACATACAGCTGTGTTCACAAAAATAGCAGTGCGAGAAATGCAATCAAGTAATGTTATTTTTTTTCAAGTTCCGTTACGATTATTCCAACGTCTACGAATTGTTGTTGTAGAATGGAATGTGTATAAGGAAGAAACGAAAAAATCCCGTTAGATTTGCGAGATTTAAGCAAATGAACAACTCTTTTTGCTAGAAGCACCAGTCTTTGGCTGTTCATTAAAATAGCAGTGCGTATCTTGATAAGCCAAAAAAATTTTGTTAAGACGTTTAATTGATAAAAAGTAAGTGGTTTTGTATTAGTGACTATTATTAACATTAGAAAACACTAAAATAAATTTATATTTTTTAACTTAGTGGGCAGGGGCAAACATTGTACTCCTGAAAAAAGAAATATTATAGTGCAACTAAGAAACCTGTGAAAAACATATAAAGATATCTAAGAAATATGTGGATGTTCTGCTAAAATGATTCATAATGCTTTAAACTTTAAAGAAATGCCCGAAAATCGTGGTATCCGACGTAAAACCACGCCTTATGAGGACCGATCTATTGTGCGATATAGCAGGGTGCAGCCTTTTGCATCGTCCAGCAAGATAAAAAATGACTTAAGCTTGAATGTTAGTGGCGTTACTATTCGGCGACGTCTTAAAGAACAAAATCTCAAAGCGTCCCATCCACGAAAAGTTCCACTGTTAGCCACCAGACATGTCAAAGCACGTTTTGAGTTCGCCAAAAGTCACCTTAATTGGCCCATTACAAAGTGGCGAAATATTTTATGGAGTGACGAAAGTAAAATTGTGTTATTTGGTGGAAAGGGCTCTAGACAATATGTCAGACGTCCACCTAACACAGAGTGCGATCCTAGGTACACTTTGAAGACAGTTAAACACGGAGGATTGAGTATTATGGTATGGGCATGTTTTTCTTACAGTGGAGTGGGGCCTATATTCATGATTGATCGGATCATGGATCGATCTGTATATGTTAACATATTAGAAAATGTTATGTTTCCTTATGCCAATTGGGAATGTCACTAAAATGGACGTTTCAACAAGATAACGACCCCAAACATACAAGCAAACTGGTCAAAAGCTGGATGGCATCAAAGCGGATCGATCTTATGTCGTGGCCTGCGCAGTCTCCGGATTTTAATCTAATTGAAAACCTATGGGAAGATGTTAAACGATATGTTGCAAATGCAAATCCAACACTTCGATCACAGCATTGGGAGGTTGTTCAAAAATCATGGGAGCGGATCCCTGTCAAGCGCTGCCAGGACTTGGTGGATTCTATGTCTCGCAGATGCCAGGCCGTAATAAAAAATAATGGGTACACGACTAAGTACTAACCCAAGCAAACAAATTAAAATAGTTTTTTGGAGTTCAACAATGTTTTTTTCAACTAATTCCACTGTTTTCATTACTCACTGCTATTTTATGAACAGCTGTAAACAGCACTTTTTTGTTTAAAATAATAATATAAAAAAAATTAACAACATTTCGAATAATAAATTGACTTGTTTTTGTTTAAAATAATCACAAAGTTAAAACAAAATTAAATTTGTGAACATTCATTTACTTTTTGATGTATAAAATTAAGTTTAAAGTTGCAGCTCATGAGCACTGCTATTTTTATGAACACAGCTGTATATAATATAGCATTCCAATCTAGAAAATTTCTTCCAATATTATAGCGTTACCATAGAAAATAATCTATACCAAATATCGTAAACATACGATAAACGTCAAATACAAAAAAATTCCATGCAAGGACTTGATTCCGATCGTTCAGTTTGATGCTGGGCGTTGCAATGCCCACGATTAGATGTAATTCTATATCTCAGGAACTATTCCACCATTCTCAAATAAATATGGTGCATAACATTATCTTCATATGAAAAGAAAATAGTTGAAATCGGCCTAGAACCTCGGCTACTTCCCATATAATCCAATTTTAAACCCAATTTGATTAT